AGTTCCACAGATTAGAGCAGGACGCAGCAATGACACCTTTACAATCAGATATGAAAGTTTAGAGGAGGCAGCTTCGAAAACCAACAGAATCAACAAGTAGTCTTACAAAAATATTGGGCTGAACGATTTGGGGAAAATATCCAATTGCAGTTTCTTCGACAAGCTTCAAAACTTGCAGCCTTTGAGTTTTGCTAATTGCTGAAAGCGCACAACATGGACTACACCACACAAACTCAGATCAAACTCAAGTTAAAATGACTGATGATGAATTAAGAACATGTTATATTGATTTGAGTACATTTCAGTTGGCAAGTAAAATGATCTACCAATGGAGTAAGTGTTTGTGTAGTTGAAATAGGAAAACACACCGAGTTACACTGGAGATAAGAAAAACAACAACTATTTCTGCTTAAAATAAGGAGTTGTATGATGTTTTAATTAAGAAAAAAAGATATTTTGCTTGTCAACTGAATTATCTTAAAATCAAGTAAAATCTTCTTAATTTGAGTAATTGGAACTTACTCATATTATTTAATATTATATATTTAGGGTGCATTCACACTTGCACAATCACCACATCCAACTTTTAACTAAACTAAACCTGGAACTCAACCAAGACTAGACCAGGACTAAACCAGGACTAGACCAGGTTGACATTAAGGACTAAACCTTGATTTAAACCAGGACTAAACCTTGATAGATTTAGGGTCTAAACTACAGTGTGAGCAGTCTTCTGTCTATAGAGGAAATTATGATACTTCAAAAACTGCAGTCTTTGCGATTTGCTAATTGCTTCTATACAAAGCACATTTTTGATTTGATTAAATTAATCTTGCAGCCTTAATTTGTATGTAACTTTGATGAGCAATTTGATATTTAAAAACTACATTTCCTGAACAGGATATGTCACCTACCCATGTCAGTGCATTGCCTGGGCTGGTGATGTTGCCTGGTGAAGCTACAGGTCAGGTCTGTGGAGATGTGGTCAGATTGAAAATGTGTGGTTTTAAGGTACCTTGAGCAAAAACTGTCACTCTGTTCCACTTTATGATGTCATGTGGTAATACAGAAAGTGGTCCACAGTGTTTTTAAACTCCATACAGCTTCACTGGATGATTTATACCTGAAGTAAGTAATCTCTAATGAACTAAAGGTAAACAGTAGCTGCTGAATACCACCTCATGACATCACAAGGTGGAACAGAGCATTTTGAGCTTTGGATGTAAACACACTATTATATAAAAGGATTACTCCAACGTGTGTGAATGAAACAAAAAACAACTTCAGGTATGGTTTGGAGGAGGTAACAGCATTTTAACATGACTAAAAACTCACAAGAGTCATTTTTTTTTTCATAATATAAAACCTTTAAGTAAACGCAATGGACGAAAGATTTATTTATTTATTTATTTATTTATTTAATAGGGACAGTGCATATTAATGAACATCTACAACATTGCAGTGTAATTATGACAGATTATAGCAAGACTGCTAATTTCCATCTGTAGTCCCTAGACAGGTAACGCCACAAACTTAAACAAAACAAAAACAAGTAACAAATATACACAAAAAGTGTCCACAAGTCTGTTTTTTCTTTAGCTACTCTTTTAAGTAGGACTTGAAGGTGGTAAGAGTTGGAGTTTCTCTTACTGATAGTGGCAGACTGTTCCAAAATGTTGTGCCTCTGACTGAGAGCACACATATAAGTTTAATACTCTACTATGGAATATTCTAATCAAAGCAGTAACATTTCAGTATAGGCAAAGTGGTGGTGGGCCTCCTTCAGAAAGTTTACATAGTGCAACTTTAAGTGACACAGAGGAAATGTATTTCATTTCACTTTACAATTACAAAACAAACATGAGCATGTTGGTATCAGAAATACACACGTTTTCTCGGCTTATTGGACCAAAGACATTGTCAAACACAACTCAAATAGTGTTGCTGGAGTAATGAAGATAAATGTGTATTGATATTTGTGTGTGCAGTCATGTGTGGGTTCCCTCTGTGAGTTATTCTCTGCTCATGTTCACAACACAAACAAACCCGGGACAATAAAATCAAACTATTATATTGTATTTATTTGTCCTTTTTCTGCATGTTTTTCGATTTTTTTTATTCCACACAAATCCTCCAAGCGTTCATTGACTTGGTTACTGCTTTGACACATACACTACTAGTTAAAAGTTTGGATGCACGCTCTCATTCAATGTTGTTTTTTTCTTAATTTTTACTACTTTCTACATTTTAGAAACATATTAAAGACATCAAATACAAAACAAGATATATGGAATTATGTAGTTAAAGTTTAATAACATTTACTAAACTATATACTCAAAGCAAAAGGTGGCTACTTTGAGGATTTGAATAAAATATATACAGTTAAAATATATACAGTTATTAGTACTTTTTTCTTTGCTACATAGTTCCATATATCTTACTTCATATACCGTAGTTGATACTGTCTGTTAGTATATAAAATGTAGAAAGTAGTAAAAATAAAAAAGGAGAGGGTGTGTCCAAACTTTTGACTGGTAGTCTGTGTTTTACATCCAGTCTTTAACACAATGGGATTAAAAAAAACTACATGTTCAAACATACAACTGTATGTTTGAACACAGTATATTTATTATTTCTTAGACTCATATAAAACAGTTTATACAAAAATATGCAATGAATAAACTCACTAAAACAGCAACAAAGGCCAAGAACAATGAATGTATCGGTCAAACACAGATAAGACGGCTTATTATTGTTAAAGTATGTAACTTTTCCAGAGAGCTACCAGACTCCAGGTCAAATAAGAGTCAGGTTTGTGGAGAAGCAAGCCCAATGAGTAAGGATACGTGTTTTTCCATTATTTTCTGTCAAATAAATACAACCAAAATGGAAAAAAAAAAATATTTCCATCTACTTTTGGGATGATGGGGTCCAAAAAAGTTACATTCTATGGCATTAACTATTGTCTGAGCTCTGTGCACTGCAATGTATCATTAAATAAACTATTCATTGCATCTCTCACATTTTTCTGCAAGTCCAGCCAGCTATTGTGTATTGATCCTATATACAACCACCGTTTTCTATTTTCTATTTATCAGAATACCTCCACATGTAGTTCAATCTGTCCATTTAAAGTTCCAAACTTCGACTAATTCCTCAAACAAGTAGAAAGCAAGTTTGTGTCTCTCGAGGCCATAGGTGACACTTTTCAAATTAATTTCATCATTTTTTCACCAAATTGGAATTTTTGTAAAGATGATGAAAATATTGAATTTGCTGTGCACTGCACCATCTCCATCTTTCCACTGTGGCATAATTCAACTAGACTGTTTTGCACACAAGTATATTATGCTTAGACAGTGACGAGCAGCGTTGGGGGATCTCCAGTGTTTGGTGTGAATAATGAGGTTTTAGCTGCGCTCTGGTCCCAGTAGTGTTGACTATTCATGACTATTCACGGTTTGTACCATGGAAACTGGATCTGGACTGGACCTGGGTCCCTGTGTGTGTGCATGTTGGATCCATTCGCTCCCATATATTTTATACTGTCTGTTTATATTTGTCAGAGCGCAGTAGGGGGCTGCTTTGGGTGTTAAAATAAAATAAAAAACAGCTGTGGAATTTTTTAAGATTCAAATTAGGACTGCATAAAATATTACAGGTCTCATATGGAGAATTAGAAACCAAAATATGTGAGTATGACAAAAACATAAGGCAGTGAAAATGTGAAATATATAGAATTTATGTCATTTATTCTTATTCATTTAATTTTAATTTCAGTTTCAGATTACTTCACAGCATGGGTGTAGTGGTTGTGGTACATGGGGTTACGCTGTCCACCCACTTCTCCCGACATGAGATATAAAAAAAATAACAAATTTAAAATAACAACAACTTAAATGTCAAACTGGAGCCATTGGCAATGGTGAAAACAATCTGCATAGGCTCATGATATCTGCACTACTGTCCTATAGTGACCTGAGACATGAGAATCCATGATTAGTCCTGGTGTATTTTCGATTTAGTCCTGGTGTAGTCCTGGTGTAGTTTCGATTTAGTCCTGGTGTATCAGTCCTGATGCAGTCCTGGTGTAATCCTGGTGTAGTCTTGATTTAGACCTGGTGTAGTCCTGGTGTAATCCTGGTGTAGTCTTGATTTAGACCTGGTGTAGTCCTGGTGTATTCTTGGTGTAGTCTCGATTTAGTCCTGATGTTGTCTTGATTTAGACCTGGTGAAGTCATGATTTAGTCCTGGTGTAGTCTCAATTTAGTCCTGGTGTAGTCCTGATGCAATCCTGGTGTAGTCCTGATGTAGACCTGGTGTAGTTCTGGTGTAGTCTTGATTTAGACCTGGTGTAGTCCTGGTGTAGTCTTGGTGTAGTCTCGATTTAGTCCTGATGTTGTCCTGGTGTAGTCTTGATTTAGTCCTGGTGTAGTCCTGGTGTAGTCTCGATTTAGTCCTGGTGTAGTCTCGATTTAGTCCTGGTGTAGTCCTGGTTAGTCCTGGTGTAGTCCTGGTGTAGTCCTGATGCAGTCCTGGTGTTGTCCTGGTGTAGTCCTGATTTAGACCTGGCGTAGTCCTGGTGTAGTCCTGGTTTAGACCTTGCTCAGTCCTGGTTCAATCGTGGTTTAGACCTGATTCAGTCCTTCTTCAGTCCTGGTTTAGTCTTCCTGGTTCAGTCACGAATTGCGTACCCCCACTTAAAAAACAAAACACTACACCACTTCTTCACAGCATTCTATCATTCAATTTAATACAAATGGAGGCAAATTTTGTAATACAGTGAGTTCTTGGGTCTTGTCATTTAAAAATCATGTTCAATATTTGTGAATATTTGGCAAAATACAGTGTAATTAACAGGGAAAACTGGCTCTTGCCCCCCATCTGGGAGTATGACATCTTCAAGTCCTACAGAAAATCTGAAAACCACCACTGAAAAACATAAATCCCATTACATTTCCATTGTTCTGAGTTTAAATGTGTGTCTGTGTGTTTTGCAGGTACCACTCGACAGCCCAGGGAGGGGGAGGTTCCTGGAGTGGACTATAACTTCATCAGTGTTGCAGAGTTCAGGGAGCTGGAGGAGAGCGGCCTGCTGCTGGAGAGTGGAACCTATGACAGTACGTGCACACTTGCTGGGTTTGAATGCTTCTCTGGGACAGTACATTCACTTACATTCATTTTCTGAACGCTGCTCATAATCTTCTTGCCATAACCTAAACCTAAACCCTAACCATGGCCAGTGTTGGGAAGGTTACTTTTAAAATGTATTCCCCTACAGATTACAGATTACATACACCAAAATGTAGTTTGTAACGTAATCCATTAAATTACTTAACGTGAGTAACGTAATCTGAATACTTTGGATTACTTGATTTGTTGTAGAGTAGCAAAGACTAGGAAATCTTCACATAAGATGTTTTGTTTGCTAAAAGTAAATGAAAAGGCCGAGTCTTTAAAAATATTAAGGCCAAGTCTTTAAAAACATTATTGATAGAAGAGGAAAAGACACGGTCCGCACGGCATGGTTTAGTCCTGTTAAATCCTGTTTTAGACCTGTTTTAGTCCTGCTTTAGTCCTGGTTTTAGTCCTGGTTTACTCCTGGTTTAGTCTTTGTTTAGTCCTAGTTTAGACCTGGTTTTAGACCTGGCTTTAGTCTGGTTTTAGACCTGTTTTAGACCTGGTTTAGACCTGGATTTAGACCTGGTTTTAGACCTGGGTTTAGACCTGGTTTAGTGTCCGACAATGAGTGGAATTACCGAGAGAAAAAAAAAAAGGGATATAGCCCCAAATGTGAAAACAAGAAAATACCGCCGTGTAATCCATTTATTTCAACAAAGTAACTATAATCCAATTACCACTCATTGAAACAGTAACTGTAACCGAATACAGTCATAATTTGTACTCTGATTATGTAACTCCGGTACATGTAATCCATTACTCTCCAAAACTGACCATGGCCTATTTTGACCCGTATCTTCACTTTAAACCATGTTGTTGATCTTATAATAAAGGTCTCTGTAATGTGAGTGTGTGTATAGATTTCAGTCCTCTCACATGTTACACACACATATACGCGATGCACGTCTCTAATTGGCCTACTATTCGTGGACTGTTCAAGTTACATCAAGGTTGAGTGCTTTTTTTTTTTTGATTCTCATTTTTTTAAGTGGCCAATTAGCACAAATGTTTTCAGGGCTTATAATTGGTGTGAAAGTCCACTACGCACTTTTCCTGTGATCTAATTGTCTCTATATGTGTTATTGCTTTGTCTGGAAAGTTCAACAGAATGGGATTAAACTTTTCAAGCTCCATGGAGACACGCAGGTGACATTATACCACCAGGTCGGTTAGAGGTCAGATCTGTGGAGAGGTGACCTACGATGCATTATTTAACCGCTGAGCTTGTGCTGGCCCTAAGGTGTTGCACTTATACTCACACTATAACTAGGTTTATTGATTGATTTTCTAATGCAGTAATATTTGCTTTTGACATTTACTGAGAAAATACCACAGACATAGACGTATAAAAAAGTGGACTAAGGGAGTGTGACGTCACCTATAGCGTTCAGCTCCAGTCAAATGAAGCTCATGAGGCTGGCAGTTATAGGGGCGAGTGTCTCCATAGACATGTTAGTGCATTGCCTGTGCACATGATGTTGCCTGGTGAAGTTACAGGTCAGGTCTGTGGAGGTGTGACATCGTTCACAGTGAGAATGTGTGTTTTGAGCAAAAACTGTCACTCTGTTCCACTTTGTGATGAAGATTAAATGATTACGTTAAATTATAAAATTTAATTCAGTTATTCAAAAATAGACAAAATAACAGAATAAAAACACGAGGATCCTATAGAGTGGGTTCATACCAACATTTTAAGACCAAAATGATAAGGTTTTATGCAGCAGTTACAGAGAAAGAGGTGAAGTTTTTCAATATAAAGTCGATGGAGTCTGAAGTACCTCCATGCTCGCTTCATATCAGAAACACATTTATCCATTTATATATAGACTCTATGGATTAAACTTTTCAATGTCCTTGAAGATTCTATAAACAGTTTGTTTTTCTGAGCTCTGAAATCACCTCCCACGCCACTCGATCCACTGTGTGCGGTGAGTGCAGGATCCCCAAACGTAGGACAGCATTTGAAAACTCAGCCTTTTCATGCGTGGCCGTCCGTCAGTGGAACATGTTACCAACTGAGCTGATCACCTGTACAAACTATGGCACATTCTCACACCTGACAAAACAGTGGCTCCTCTCACACCAAACCTGCACCCATAGAGTGACTGATGAGTGTCTGATGAGTGAAGAGAGAGTGATGTTCTGGAGTAAATTAAATGAATGATGCTTTTTATAAGGATGATGTTTTTAAGATGCTGAGAGAACTGGGAGTGAACGATATTACAGAATTGTTATGATGCTGTGGAAGGAACCAACATTTCATCTTGAAAGGCAAAGTTATAGTAATAACAATAGAGCAGAAAACAACAGGCTGAGTAGACCTTAATATGTTAACGTAACATCTTAACAGTTATTCAGTTAACTATAGCAAAAACAAACTCTTGATCTCACTCCAAATCACTAAATCCACTGAATCCATTGAATACTTCATCCTCTGTGTCACTTCTGAGCAACTCCGCACAACTTCGGCTGGCACTGAAGTCCATGCTTTGTCATCCAATGACTTTCAGGAAAGTTACATGGTGCACCCGCCCGGTTGCTGTGAAGCTGTGTTCTCCATTCCCACTTTCTGCCAGTCCCTCACAAGTTTCTCGCTCACTACAAACTTTCTTTCTGCTGCCCGATTACTGTTTTCTGCTGAATATTTCACTACTTGCAGCAGGACAGTGGCTTTTTCTGCAGGAGACATGCGCAGAAAACTGATACACAACCCTAGAGCACCCTCTCACAGCTGAACATTTTAATGTAAAAGTCGCTCTGGAGTATAAATCGCAGAACCAAACAAACCATGAAAAAAAGTGCAACATATAGTCCAAATAATACAGTAAATAAACTAACTTACCTAAAACACACAGGTGGCATTATACCACCATTTCAAGTTACAAGTCAGATCTGTGGAAGGGTGACCTAGCCTGCATTATTTAACCACTGAGCTTGTGCTGCAATTGATACTCTCACTATATCTAAGTTGATTGATTGATTTTCTAATGCAATATTCTTATTACTTTTGCCAGTTACTGAAAAAAAATATAGAATTGTGACTCTTCTAACATCAATAACCCCTCTAAAAGGGCTGTGTCTTAGCTGCTGATACCAAGTCAAATGATCCAACCCCACCAAAGTCATTATGAAATTGAAAACCCAGCAGTTTCCTTCTCTCCTCTCTTGGGGCTGTTGTTTAGATGAGCTATGGACCCCCTTACTCTGCCTATGAGTCCTCCAGTGGATCTGCTGAGGCTTGCACTGTAATAATCAATGCTTATGCCTTCAGAAACTCCAGTTAATATATTCCCCTGTGCTTCCTGTCAATTCCTTCAGAAGAAACACTCTAACATTGGAAGTATTTGGGCTTTGTAAGACCTTTCTGTAAAGCCCCCGTCCTCTGTCTACCCCGCAGAGATGAGCCCTTTCTACCCCCGAGCAGTGCTCCAGTCAACAGAATGAATAATGTATGGCTTGTGCTTTTTCCCTATCTAATCTAACTCAAGTGTATCCATGGATCGCGTTCATAAGCCTGGCCGAGGTTAATTTTTAATGTGCAGATTTCAAGATAAACTGGTTTTGGAGAACTTTATTTGCAATCCAGACTGACAGACAGGGCAGAAGGGGAGAATTTGATCATTATTGGAGTCTCAGTGGAAAGGAAGTCAAACTTATATTGATGACTGGATGCAAGTTAATAAAAGTGTTATTCAAGATCTAAAAATAATAACAAATAACGTGTTTATTTATTAAAAAAGTGAGAGACTAACCAAAATGGCAGTTGTGCTCCCAATGGATAAGCAATGCCTTCACAATATCTGAAATAATATCGGGTGTAAACTCTTGGTATGGTTGGTACAAAGAACATTTTTTAGATTAGAAGTTGCTCCTCTTGACCCAACCCAGCCAGTTTCTATTAGGATGAATACAGTGGTGCATTCTGTAAGATGTCTGCCCTCCCCACCATAGACTGTTTATAGGCTATAAATGGACATAATATAATGGAAATTGTATAAAAGACAAATCAGACATTCCCTTTCCCCGAGGTCACTCCCGCTAGTGTTAGCAACAGGTTTGATTGACAGTGTTGCTAAGTCCTCGCCCCCGGCCAACCCAGCGGTGCAAGTGGGAAGAGGCGTGTACACCCAACAGTCTTGCTCCGGATTAGCTCCTCAGTTGCTATGATACTTGCGGTCAGAATTCCAAATACGGAACTAAATGCTTCTGAATTCATCATTATATGTGTCGGCCTTGATGAGCTTCATTTGACTGAAGCTGAACGCTATGGGTGATGTCTACTACTTTACACAGAGTATGCTCAGAACATTCAATAGCTCCAATCTTGACTAAAGTACATACTGCTGTTGTGTCCTTTGTTGTCAGTGGTATAGTGAGGATTTTTTAAGTGGAGGTACGTGATTTGTGACATCACATATAAAGGTGCCAGCCCAGTAATCGGTAAATCAGTAATATTTGTGTAGATGTTTTCTTACTCAAAATGATATGGAATCATATTATTAACATTATCGCCATTCATAATCACCTACAGGACATAAATTATAGGCTACAACATATGAACCAGGTCTGAACCAGGACGGAACCAGGACGAAAACAGGTCTAAAACAGGTTTAAAACAGGCCTAAACCATGATTGAACCGGGACTAAACCGGGACTAAACCGGGACTAAACCAGGTCTAAACCAGGACTGATCTTGGACTTCAGAAAGAGGGAGAACCTAGAGCCCATGGAGCAGGGTGTCTGCAAAGTGCGATCGGGTGACGTCTCCGCGGAGCTCTGCGCCGGTCCTTTTGCCCGCTGTCACCTGATGGTCTACATGGGAGCACCTCTGGGCCCATCCTGACACTTAGTCCTAGTTCTGTTGGTTTAGTCCTGTTTTAGTCCTGTTTTAGTCCTGGTTCAGTCCTGGGATCAGTCCAGGTTTGGTCTTGGTTCAGTC